TAACTGCCCTCCCTTGCTGGCTATCTTGTAGCAGCCACCTTGTGACGATATGAGGGCTGTCATCTTGTGACATGGGTGTGGCCATCTTGTGACCACATGGGGGAGGCCAACTTGTGCGAGGGCATGATGATCAATTTGCATATTACCTCTTTATTATATAGAATGTTAATAGTACAAATCACTACTTAAAACTGGGACCAGAAGAATTCTTAAAAATGTTAAGGATTATAGACACATGATAGATTATTAAAGGGAAAACTAAGAATTGTGACATTTACCCCAAATTTATAAACTGTTGTTGCTAAAGACAAACACATGTTTCTACAAATCTTCCCTTTATTTTGTCTCAGATAGAAGATTGTCAAGGAATATTGTCCATTATTGGTACTTGGAACTCAGTACCTCACCTTCCATGTAGTTATTTGTCCTATACAATCACTATAAAATCTTTTTCATTCTGGTAAAAATCAGAACGCTGAATTTTATTGTAATGGGAAAACATTTATAGCACATTCTCTTCATAATGTTTCCCTGAATTGGGACTGAAGTTTTTTAAAACAATTATAAAATACTTCTAGTACAAGCAGCATATATGTCATGGGCTAAAATGTATGACAATATACTCTACAGAAATATTATCCTTATTTTATTAATAATTCTTATATTTATTTGCAGTTGTGAGATTGTGAAACCTCTTTATATTTATGATGCTTTACCTTATGTGTACATATTTTCTTTTCTTTTTTTCATTTATCACTCCCTGTTGACTGCAGACTCTCTGTGATGTTTTATGTCTGTAGTCTCACCTTGGAAATGAGACCACTGACAGTTTCCTCAAACCACATTGATCTGCACACAGAAGATACTCACCAAAGTATATTTTACTGACCGATGATATTTTAATGACAATGTTGAATTTAGGAAAGAACACCGAGGGTCATGGAGATATATTTTCACTTCAAGACATGGCAATATCTAATTCTATTTTAATGAGTCTCAAATCTTTTAGAATCAGTCTTTACTAATGGAAGATGTTCAAAATATATAAGAAAATACATACTTTATAGGTAATAATTGACCAAAGGAAAATGAATAAGAAATCTTAAGAAATGATGTTTCATTTTCCTACAAAAGTAGGAAACAGGACAATGGTAGGGTGTTTATATACTGGTTCCACCAAAGTTGATAGGATAGCAGAGAAACAGGTGTTAGGTATGTTTGCAATGACAAATGTGCAAAATAATCATTTTTCTATAATGTGTTATATAACTGCAATGAGTCTATCTGTGCATTTTATTTTATTAATTGCCTACCTTATTTTGAATGTGAACACTTGAATCTTCATGAAATATTTTAGGTACCATATTAAGTTTAATGATGAAAAATGTTTTAATTTCAAAATACAGAGATCAAAATATATTCTAAAAATACTTATACTCATGAATGCTTTCTTTAGTATAAAATGTTTTACTTAAATTAATATCTGAATGAAAAATAATTCACAATAAAAATTTAAAGTAGAGTATCACCCAATGGATCACAAACTACCCATCAATCATTTCTGTTTGCTTTATAACAGATCCCATTAGAACTGCATAGTACAATATCAGTTTATATTACTATCCCTTAAACCCTATTTTGATAATTTTTAATAATTAAAATTACTGTGGCAAGATTTTCAAGTTGGTAATGTGAACCAAATTAGTATAGAGTACTAAATCCTGAATTCTGCAAAAGTTAAGCTTAAATATCAATAGTCAATCAGACATGTAAATTTACATAGATTGATAGATAGATAGGGAGATGATAGATAAATAGCCAAATATTTTATCATCCTTCATCATCAGGTTAGGTCTAATGAGAAGACAACATTTACAGAAAAAAAACTTATAACACAGAATTCCTATTATTTTTATATTCCAGAAATATTGAAACCAAAAATGTAAAGCAATTCGTCGACTGTGTGACAGAAAGAATGAGATTGCATTATGAATAACTGTCACCTTGTTAATTACTGATATTCTGAATTAGAGTGGTTTACATGGTAATTCTTAAACCACGGTGTAGCTTAGAGCAACCCAGAGCACTTGTGAAAAAATGTAATGCCAATAACAGTCGCGCAATGAAATCAGCATTCATTGTAGGACTGGATATCAGTGGTTTATAATATCTCCCCAGGTGATGAGAAGGCAAACAGAGTAAGGAGAAACTCTACAACTGAGAGAACATATGGGAAGAGGATTAAAAAACACTAAACTGACCCAGGAAACTAGCTGGTCCCCTAAGTGTCCACAGAGTTCCCTCAAGAGTTAGTAGAGCTGAAACCGGTTTGGCTCAGTTGATAGAGCGTCGGTCTGCGGACCGAGGGGTCCCGGGTTCGATTCCAGTCAAGGGCATATACCTGGGTTGCGGGCACGTCCCCAGTGGGGGATGTGCAGGAGGCAGCTAATTGATGTTCTCTCATCGATGTTTCTGAATCTCTATCTCTCTCCCTTCCTCTCTGTAAAAAATCAATAAAATATATTTTTAAAAAAGAGTTAGTAGAATCATTGTTCCATCTCGAGATGCAAAAGTATTGACATGAAGACTTCTAGTGACCTGAGGTGTCTGAGCTTTGTATTTTTCTGTTTATGATAATAATTTCACGTCCTACACAGGCAAACTGGTCCTTCTAAAAGAGGCAAGATAAGAAGAGCGTGAGGAAGAGTGTCGGCCTTCCAGCTCTTCGAAACTGTGAAGATGTCTTTGAAAATGAAATGAGTTATGAAAGAAAAGATCTCCAAGAAAATCATTCCAAAAGTTCTGAGTGGGATGTGAGTGAGAATTATAAACAGAAAGAAGCAGAAGTCAACGATTTC